TTTAACGCGTATAAAAAAGATTTGGAGGAGCTGGGATTTGAACCCAGGACTTCCCGCATGCGAAGCGGACACTCTACCCCTGAGTTACACCCCCTTCGAATGAAACGTAATTCTCGGATTTGGATGAAATATACAGTTTATTTATATAAACTATATATTTTTGATATTTAACGCGTATAAAAAAATACGTGGAGGAGCTGGGATTTGAACCCAGGACTTCCCGCATGCGAAGCGGACACTCTACCCCTGAGTTACACCCCTTCGAAATAAAACATAATTCTCGGTCGGATGAAATATACAGTTTATTTATATAACTATAATATTTAAGATATTTTAACGCGTATAAAAAGTTTTGGAGGGGCTGGGATTTGAACCCAGGACTTCCCGCATGCGAAGCGGACACTCTACCCCTGAGTTACACCCCGTTCGAAATAAAACATAATTCTCGGATTCGGATGAAATATACAGTTTATTTATATATATATATTTAAACGCGTATAAAAATATGTGGAGGAGCTGGGATTTGAACCCAGGACTTCCCGCATGCGAAGTGGACACTCTACCCCTAAGTTACACCCCCTTCGATATGAAATAAATTTTCGGATTTAAGTTTTCAAATGTGTCAAAAATGAATATAAAGCTATTGCGATATTACTATTTGAACATATACATAATGTTTGTTCATGAAAAAAAAGATCATTCTAATACAAATTCGAAACAAAAAAAAATTTCATATAAAATGAATTTCATTACCAAAATACAAAATTATGTTTAGAAAGAAAGATTCGCATCCAATAATTGCAAAGGCGTTTTTAAAATCGATTAAAAATTGTAAGCTGGACGAAAAATTGTACCATTTTCTGCTAATTCTAAGAAAACGTTTCGGCCGATCGTCACACAAAATAAATCGATAAACGGCTTTTAAATTTTGAAATAGCCGTTTTGAAGAAAACGACCAAATGTAAAAAATTGGCTCTTTTTCCAAATTTGGTTCAATAGATTCATAATGACTTGAAACGTCGAGATAACATAAAAATTAGCAAATTGGTATTTTGGCGTGGCGAAAACATAAACTTCACTTCAAAAAGCAACAAGTGCAGATTTGAATGATCCAAAAAACATTCTGCTTGTATAGATTGCTTTTGAGGAAAGAATTTTTTTTTTTCATTCAATTTTTTTATTTTTCGAAAAAAAATTATTTTTCATATAAATTTCGTATAAGTTACTCATCGTCCAATTCATAAGGTTCTATATTTTGGTTTTATATCTATAAAATAAAAAAAATAATGAAAGTTACAGTATTTATACTAATCTATTTGAAAACATTTAATATTTTTCGAAAATTTTATTACGGTACGGGAAGTCCAGCAATTTGCCACAAGGCAAATGCCATACACCTAGTAGTTCAATTATTTATAAGATGTGTTGTTATTTTTAGGTTATTTTCAACAGTTTCCTTTATAAAAGCATATATCTATATATTTACCTGTACAAAAGCTTACATGTGGGTGGGGTTAAAAAAACAACTAAAACTTTACACTGGCAAAGGTATGAAAAATAAGAGAATAGTACTTAAAAAAGTAGATTAAGTTAAACTTATGTACAAGAGATAAACTAAATTAATAGTTATTCCATCTCTACTGATATTTCTCACTAAATACCAGATCAAGGTTATATACGGAGTCATCTGTGTGAAAATGTGCTTATGAAATATTTATTTCGCGTTCGTTAAATAATTTAGCTATTATTTCGTAAAAGCCCTTTAAAATGGCTGACGGCTGTCCCTTTTTATCCAGCCTTTAGGGTAAAAAGGAAAAGGTGACAAGTTCTCGAGAAATAGCTAATAGCTTAAAAAATATTTCTATAATTAAAGATTAATTGGGAATTTTTAAACATAGTTCGATAGACAAGCAATGTCTGATTCGTGTTATTTTTTATGATGTGTGCTACATATTAGTTTGGACAGTATGAATACTGAAAGCCAAATTGGACCATTGTGCTCCCTATATCGTCAAAGTCAATTTGAATGATTCAAAAAATATTTCACTTGCATTGACGTAATGAAGTAATGATTAAATTTTTACTATAACAGGTCTAGCGGTTTTGGAGATTCAGAAAAAAAAAATAATTATTTTGATCATTAGCCATATGCACATCAAATTATCAGATATTTTATAAAGATTTGATATTAGGTACTATTTTTGTTTTCATTTCTGTGGGTTCCGTTTTAAGATTTATAATGTTTAGAGTAAACTTATATAGATTATATTAAACAAATGTCCTCGACAGTATGGAAGAACCAACTTGAATGCGTATCAAAAACTTTCAAGAAATTTCAAAAACAACATTTTTTAAATAAAATTTTTAAAAATATCAAGTTTGGAAAAAGTTCATAATTTTTCAAAATAGTTCATTTTTTCGAAATTTTCAAAAATGTTTTTGTCCACTAGTTATTAATTATAATTATTTAATTAATAATAAATATTTTTTCGTTAAATTGTATTTGTAAAGTATATATAGTTATTATATTTGCACATTCAATAAAAAAATGCATTATTTCTATAGATATTGTATCTGTAAAGTATATATAGTTATTGTATTTGCACATTATTCTATAGATATATCTCTATATAAATAAATATATTTACAATAATATTCTAATTCTAATTACTTCCATATAATTATTCAGCACAAATTGTTATTAAGTAGATGATTCTACTTTGTGTTATTGGCTGGTCCATTGTCTAATAGTATAATTTTTGTGCATTTCTAACTTCCCTCACTTTTTTCTACTCTAAAAATTTATCATTTAAAATGATATAATCATAATCATTACTTCTCGTCTCCTTTGACAAAAGGACAATTACATTCTGCTGTCTTATCCACTACGATCGGTGCCAAAATACTCATCAAGATCCATTGCCTGCAACATATTAAAAATTCTTTCAGACGCAATATGTTTGGCAGCTTTTTTGGAAGAAGAAGTAGCAGTATCCCTCCAAGTAGACACAGAGCATTCTATAGTAAATTGTTTGCAATGAGGTGGTCCAGTTTCGCCAACTAAACTGTACTCTGGCGTAGGTAATCCAATCCTATGACACAACTGGCGAAGCTTTGTTATCGATCGATACAGGAAAGCTGGTAAATTGCGACGGTGGTGAATTCATTTCCGATAGCCTCTCAAGGGCCGATCTTGCCGATTCATGCTTAGCTCGTTGTTTGGAGGTTCCTATTCCATAAGCTCTTACTTCAGTTTCGTTTACAGTCAGGCGAACTTCATAAATGAAGATTGGGTCGTTGGTGGAAGCCGTTCCATCTTGGAGTAAATTAAAGTCAGGTATTGGTATTCTGTTTGCAGCGCAAAAGTTCATCAAAGTGGTTATTGGCGTTTCCTCAGCCATTGGACAAAGTCAAAAATGTAGCGCACGATATTATTTCAAAATATATTTAGACTAATTTCAGAATACTGTTTATCATTTTTTTTTGGTTTGATATATTTTGTTTTTCTTTGACGTTTTTAAATCAATCGAAATTGAGATTTAAATAAAATTTTCAACTGTTTTTTTCAAAAATAAAGTTTTCGCTTTGAATTAGATCTAAACATTACAATTTCCTGGTCTGTTTTACCCCATATGCGGGGTAAAATGGGACGGCTAGGGGGCAATAGGTCCAACGTCTTAATTTTAATTTTACAAAATAATTACTACATTATTCAACCAATGCAAAATATACATTTTACGGGTACATTTTTTACGGAGAAATATATGAATATTTTTTTTTATAAAGAATAAAAAATAATTAATAAATAAAATATTATACGTAAGCACCCGCGCATCCGAGGCTAGTCCAAGAATATAAATTTGAAAGCCAGAAAGTACTTGAAAGTATTATACGTCAGCGCGGGTGCTTACATATAATATTTTATTTATTAATTATTTTTTATTCTTATAAAAAAAGAAATTACTGACATTCGGTGCTTGTTTCCAATTATTAATTATTTAAGTTGTTGTTAATATGTGTAAGTGATAATCTAAGAATTTCAAAACCACTGACGATGACGTAGAATTTTACGTCGAAACGTATGAAAAAAAAAAAATGTTTCAAAAATCTTTACTTTTATATATTTGACTTGATGTTAAGCCCTTCAAGAAAGAAATTAATCACACACCACACACACACACAACACCACACACAAACACACACATATATATATATATATATATATATATATATATATATATATTGACTTACTTCTCAGAATGCGCGCAGAAGTTTCTTTAGCAATGACTGTACGCAATCCAACCAGACCTGGACTAGAAACGATTGCTGTATAGTTTCCAGTAATATCACTCATGGCCACTGAACTGTCATCTCGGAGCCACATTAATCTTTCGCCAAATTGGCACAAAGGTCCATGAAGTTGTGATCCTTGCAATGGACGAAAGAAAGGTGCAGTTGGATTCTTCGTAAAAAATTCAAAACATAAATTAAAATAAATAAAATCAGGCAAAATTACATATAAATATTAAAAATAAACATAGATCAACAAATTTTAAATTATTCAGTTCATAATAGAACAGATTCAATAATATAATCATGAATTGGTTTTATTTATAGTATTCTGGACTATAAACTTTTTTTTCATACACAGAAAGTCTATCAAAATGTTTGGTTTATACTTATGAGAACGCTCACCTTTTTTTAAAGTTATTTTTGCCATAGGCGCTGTATACAACATGGATCCTTCATCACTGCGAATTATCCACATAACAACTCTGCGCACTGACTGAGTCAAAGTCAACCCGATGACTAAAATTTTCAAATATACTAAACTTATTTCTACATTCTGGTTAAATATTATTTTTTACGTCATTTTTATGTATATATGTATAAAGCGAGAGGTTTGTTATGTATATATATTTTTATAATATATATATATATATATAATATATATATATATAAATATTTGCGTTTGTATGTAATACCCCGTTTTCCTAAAAATATCCGACATTGAAGTAAGTTTGCTTCTTGGTGCCATGTGTAGAGTTGCGCACTCTATCGCGTGCTCGGTGTTGAATAGTAAATAAAACCTTCTACAGAATCCACTTTTAATTCTCGTGCTAAGGCGAGCATTGGTAAGGATTCACGATGGTTACCTGAAAGACTTCCTCGAAATATCTGAAACAAGATATGATCCGTGAACATAAAGCGACTGGTGGTTCAAGATAAACTTTCAGACAAACAAAGTCAATATTTAATTTCAAGTGAAGTACAACAAAGTGTTTATGTCTCACCAGCTGCTGATTAGGACTAGCCCAATATAATTTTCTGCCAAGCCAATCCACTGCAATGCTTCCAACCGACTCCAAGTCACTATACCTGGTCAATTTTTTCTCAGTTGTATGATACATATACACTCGACTTGAGTTCAACACCAGATACAAAACGTCTTCAAACCAGTCGATATCGGTGACATGGCTCCCAAACAGTTGCGAACTCGATATAATGGTGTTCAGATTACTTCCAGTTACATCGGAACGCATCACGCCTTCCCTAGTTGACCAAAGCAGGTTGATCTCCTGATTTGCAAAAGGCCGAGGAAGTGTTTTGCTAATGAACTCGCCTGACCAAGGGCCTAAAGGTAAAATGTTTTTTAATAACGTTTTTAAGTCGACTCACAATAATATAATGAAATTTCTATCAAACTTTATGCGAATATTATCAGATAGCATAAAAATATTAGCATTTTCTGTCTTTATTATTTTTAGAAACTTACCTCTTCCTGAAATTGTATATGCAGCTACTTTCACACGATATTCGGTATCAGGACGAAGATTATGCACTGTCACGTCTGTCGAAGAAATGGATTTTTCGACGTGACTCATATTTCTTTTCTCATCCATTATTAAAATTTCGTAAGTCCACTCTATAACAAATGATACAATCATAAAATAACTAAAATGTAAGAATATGGAATTTACAAATATTATAATTATGTACTAACATTTTTAATATCAGAACAATGGTAAAATTAATTAAACATATAGTGATGTAAGCAAAATCAATTATCTTAAAATCTTATGATTTAATTCAATTTTAATAAATTTATTATTATTTTGTACTTTGCCAAGCTCCTTTGCCCTGAGTCGCCAAAGATTGTGGTGGACGCCAAGAAATTTGGGCGACGTCGATACCAAGCAGAGCCTGGGCACTGATTGGTGGATTTACGGGTACTGGTGTCGGTTGAGCAGATGATATATAGGCATATATCTAGAAAAAAAGTTGAACAAAATATAATAAAAAAAGTAGAATTCGTTTAATACTCAACAATAGATCAAAATCCTAAATTAAAGTGACTATTAAGATTAATAGTATATATTTATCTGCGAGATTATATAAATGGTAAAAACCACTTAATTTCTAATTTAATCTCTCTTGAACTGAAATTTGATCATTAAACAAACTCAATCGTGATAGGTCTATATACATTTCTGTAGAATGCTACATATTCTATTCAAATCTTTTGATCGTGTACATACTGTTAGATAAATATAATAATTTTAACTCTCATTTTATTTAAGTCTCCAAAAAATAATTCTATAGAGGGTAACTTTTTTGTAATGCTTGTAAAATATACTAACCTTGAAGACAGTATTCGGAAACGGAATGGAATTATGAAAATACATATTTTGCTCCTCGTGATAATCTTCTAAATAAATTTCGTAACCATTAATCCAGAAAAAACGCTCATTTATATATACCAGGGACGTTACATTTTGGAACTTAGAGTTTCTAATATTTGTTCTTTTGTTTTCTTTAGCACTCCTAAGAAGTTAAAAAAATTCTAATATTATTTTATTACAATAAGTTATTAATAATTATGACAATTATTATACTAAAAAAAACTGCATCTTTCTAGTTTTTTCACATCAATAGAAATACTGATCTACCATACCCGTCCAATAAAATGCTGATAACCGCGCTTTCTCCATGAATTGGAACCAGAAGTCGAAATTTTTTACAATCTAAGGTAAATGAATATAAATCATCGCGTTTCAGAATTAATTCAGGATTTTTATCATGCTTTACACCATTGTTGATGTTAGCCAAGTCCAGACGAAAAAGTCCTTCTGCATTTATCCAGAAAATATAACTAGAAATAAACATTATGCATTAAATTTATTGCAAAATTATGTTATTATTTTTTTTAACATTTGTAATATTCTATACTATATAGAAAATTTAAGAGGCGTTTTTATTTGTTTTCATGCATTATAAAAAATGTGAATTGCTTATAGATAATATAGCATAGATTAATAGATCATATAGTATATAGCATATATGCACGGATAATATATATGAATCCTAAAATATTTATTAGTAAACAAATCATAAATTGCAATAATCTGTCTATACATTTAAAATTATAAAATAACATAACAATAGTTAATAATCGTACCCATTATATGGATCCACATCAATCTGTCGAGGTTTTAGGCTGATTCCTCCAACTGCCACTATTAGGAATTGACCATTCAAATTACTACGGACGATTTGCCAAACATCAATACCCTTAAATTAACAATAAACATATATAATACAAATTTGATGTTCTTTTTTTCAGAAATTGCTAAAAAATATTTACACTTCTAGTGCACCTATACATAAGTGAGAAGTATTAAAACAATTAGATTTTTACACGTCATAATTTAATTTATAGTATTGTATTCTTAAAATTACTAAATAATTCTTTTACTTTTTTTAATTATTAAATTAACTGTGTGTAATTTTGCCTTGAGTCATTGTAATATTTTGTAGGCCTAAAATATTTTAGAATATTCGTCATGTAATTACATGTAACCATGTAATCTATCAATTATTAATATTAATTGTATTTTCAAAAACTAATTACGAAGAAATGACCTGAATGATCTATATCAAAAATTAGTCACCATGATTTCCAGCTCGCCTCTTTAAAACCGTAAAATGTTTAAAATCCATTCAGACTTCTTAGCGAAAACGTTCAAAAAATATTTTGCGCTTTCCTGCGAATATAAACGAAACAATTTGGCCCCGTCTCGCAAAACAAAACAATACACAAATCAAGTTCGAAATTCTTGCCTCATTAACATGCACACATATTTTGTTACATAAAATGAGCAAATCGGATTTTCTGGTGAGAGCAAAATTTTCCTTCAGAAAGTAAAAGCTAAAAAAAAACTAACAGGCCTATTGTGGAACAAGTGTGCTCTCTCATTTATCATCCTAAGATGCTCTTTTATGCGATAGATCAAGAAATTTGTTTCATCTTGCACGACGATGAGAGATTTATGTTATCCGATAATAGCCCTCTGAGTTTTAGAAAAATGAATGACAACTAAAAAATGCCATAAAACTTTTGTAATATGACTTTGTGTATTTGGAATATCTGTGTGAATGCATGTGTGTCCATTTACCTCGTGTTTTACTTGTCCCAAAATATAAAGATGATCATTAAGCCAATCGATTGTTAAATCGAAAGGTTTAAATTGAGCACCAAAAGGACTAATTATAACTTCACTCTTCTCTTCGTTTTCATATAAACTATTCCTTATCAGCTTCCTATGAATATAACCATTCGAATCGGAAATAAATAATAATGACCTGAAATAATTTAATGAAGTTATTAATCAATTAAATAAATTGATAATTAATAATAAACTGAACAAATAATTTACTTAGAAATGTGGACTGCCGATCCTGTAATACTAGCATTGTTTGATTCGTAAAGTACAGAGTAATCTTTAAAGTTGACTAGAGTTAAACGAAATATCTTACGCTCTGATGAAAATATAAAAAGTAATTGTTCATCAATGACATCATCTGAAAAGATAACATATTTGTTAGTATAATTAATATAAATAAAATATATTTAATAAAATTGTGGATGGAAAACAGTGTCGTCTTCAACACCAAATATATTTTTAGAGTTCTGGTAATTTTACCACCTTAAATTATTGTCTTTATATACGCAATCCAAAAAATGCAAATAAGTTTTAGCTAGTCAAATGCCCAATTACAACAAAAAGGATTTATAATATAAAGAGGTTCAAATAGACATTACCAAAATTTTGGCCATTTCAAGCAATAATTACCAAACCATTTGGCCAACCCAAAGACGTTTGGCCATCTTTTGAGTATGAGAGGAGAGTCAATGGTAATGTTACATATCGTTTATATCGAACGTTTCCATATCGTTTATACAGATCTTAAAAGTCACATGAGCTGTTGTTGTGATGCTTCCTAACTATGTAGCCTCTTTTTCAGAAAGCATCCAATGGTTAGAAATTATTTGTTGAAAATAATATGTATTTAATGAATGTTGCTATGTCGAGAAAACTATTTCACTCGATAGGACATTATTTTTAAGTGTCAATGGATATCACTGCTGCTTTTTATCAGATGCAGTATGATTCTGGAACTTGGTGATTACAGAGCTAGAGAGATTATCATATTTATAAAATATTAAACCCTCCGTCGAGCGTAGTCCAAATATGTATAGAATCAGACGCAGTATATCTGACACATACAGATTTTAGTATATTCACAGAAGGCTCATAGTTTTATATAGGGGACACTCTATTTAACACGTATATTTGAGTATAAATATTCACGAATATATAGTAGACATAAAATAACAAGGCTACTGAAATTTGAGGGTCCCATGACATAACATCCATGTAGGAAAATACTAAAATATTGGACCTGTATCTGTCATGTCGGCTGCGCCGATGGAAGGTTATAATCAAATTTACCTTCATTTTGAATAGGAAGTGTAGTACTGTGTGGTCACAGCAGCAGGTCCTTCCCCTTGAGTATTTCTCATGGATACCGAAACCTCGTAAGTTTTATTCGGCATGAGATCTGTCCATATGTAATGCTTATTTAATTGACTAGGTATTTCCTGCACAAACATTTTATTTTACTTATTTTCAGAAAACTCGAATCATTAATAACTTGCGGGCTTTTGGCATGCCACATTGTTTTACTAATACTTTAATAGGAATTAAATATATTTAAATTTTAATATAAAATTGTTTTTTGCTGAATAGTTAAGCCCTTGAAAACAATGTGTGTCAGTCAGAAGCGTTATATACTATTTACAATTTTATTATTATTGCAGAGAAGAGAAAAGTACACACATATATAAAATTCTTCTTATAAAAATAAGTTAATATATTCCTATGTAAACTGGATACATGGAGCATATGTATCCATTTCAAAGCGACACAAAATTTTCATACAAAAAAGTGGATATACTCGTATGTATATAAGCTGTCCAGACCTTGACATCGTTCGGAAACGCGTTGATAATACTATCAACCTTGACTGTCCGGAAAAAAATTTAGAAAAAATTAAAATTAGCTTTAAAGTGCAAACTAGAGCTTTGGTAAAATTATCACCATTTTTTAGTCAATTTCACAAAATTTTGTCATTTAAACTGTAGGACTCTAATCGTGAACAATATTTCTAGTGCCACAATCAAAAACAGTAACACATTTGCCCCAAGCTTTCAAGAATTAAGACTTTTGTTTGAACTTTGAATATTTATTTTTTTAAATGGACTCTAAGAGGCCATCTTCACATAATTTCTAATTTATTTCTTGTCTATTTTTCTTTCAGGGCAGGGCAGTTAGGGTCAATACTATCACCCCATTTTGGCTTGACGTCAAGGTCTGGGACACCCTGTATATATATGTGTATATGTATGCACACTTTTTATAAGTATTGTGAATTTAGTTAAGCGAAAATAACTACACAAATAAAACTACACAAACATTACAAAACTACAGGTATTTGATTGATAGAAATAGATAAATGCGAGTCTATCTACATATATAGTCTATATAGCCTGGTATTTGATAGAACTAAATAATTAGAATAACATTTACGACAATAATAAATACAAACTGAACAATTATTTTACACTGGAACGATTTTTACACAAAAGTGACATAGCTTTAGTAATAAATACGAAATAACTTTTAAAAACATGCTGAATATTTGAAGTCTAGCATATTAAATTGATTAAAATACGGTAAAATTAACATACAAAATTTCAATTAATAATAAAATATTAATTGAATGAATATCAGCTACGATTTAATCTACTTCGACCTAATGAAATCTTTTATTGCCATAACAAAATTTTATAAAATAGTTTTCATTGTGATTAAAGTGAATTTTGAATTAAATTTACAAAAGAAGCAAAAATCACACAGTACAACTCATACAGGCTTCCGAGCGGACATGCACAACCGACACCGTTGATTAGTGTTGACATCAGGGCTGTGAAATCGAAAATGGAGTTGGAGTTGGAAATGGAGTTGAAACTATAGTTGGTAATTAAGTTAGAAATTAAAGTCACAGTCGAAGTGGATAATTGAAGTCGTTTTCTGTGTTGTCCAAGCTAAAGGATGAAGCAGAAGAGTGACCTCAAAATGAAAATAAAATTCATATAATATAAGATATCTTATATTATAGTCCAGAAAATTTTCCAAAATTTCTAGTGTAGTAGAAATACAGTCATTAAAATCGGGGTTTTTAGTTTTTACGTATATCTACCCTGATAAAATTGAATTCCAAAAAGCATCTTTTATCTATAAATAATATTATATTACAATATATTATAACTTATAGCGCGTTTTTGCGATGTTGCCAGTTATATTAACTTCCCGTAGGACAAGTTATAGTAATCGCACAAAAAATCGAAAATGAAAATTTTTATATATCTTTACGTTTCAAAGGTTTCTGAACATTTTGGCATACCTTAGAAAAAATGGATGTATGTGTGTGTTTGCGGATACAAATTTGAATAATTCAAAAAACATTCGATTGATGATTCGACGTGCTAATTAGTTTTTGACGAAGGCAGGTCTAGCCGTTCCGTAGATACGGGGCAAAAAGTGCCAAAAATGGTAACTCAGAGAGAACGGAGCGTCCGATTTTAATAATTCAACTAGCTGTAAGTGGAATTCTGTCTTAAGGCATCGTCTTAAGGTATTAAGGCATCGTGCCTTAAGGCATATTGCTGGAACTTTCCGTACCAAAAAAGTATTATGTTTTTAAAAACAATTGACATTTTTAAAAAAAATTACTTCGAAAAAATAAGATTTTTGAGAAACTATAAATTGGACCAAAAATTACTTTTTTCTGAAAAAAAAATTTTTTTTTTTTAAAAATTTAAAAAAAAATTTTTTTTTTTTTAAAAATTAAAAAAAAAATTTTTTTTTTCATTTTTTTTTTGCAAAAAAAATGTTTTCTTTATTTTGGCATATTTTAGAAGATCTGAACTTTTTTTTCAAAGCAATCGTACTTTTTTAACTGCATCGAGACAAAATGTCAAAGCGCGTAAGCGCCGCGTCGCCGTCTAACGAATAAACATTGATACGGAACCCATAGGAATGCAAACAAAATTTATACTTATTGTTAAAATCTCTATAAAATATCTGATAATTTGATCTAATGAAAAAAGTAAAAAAAAATGCCATTTGGCGGTCAAAAATGATCATTAGACATATGCACATCAAATTATCAGATATTTTATAAAGATTTTAACAAAAACTATAAATTTTGTTTACATTCCTATGGGTTCCGTACCAATGTTTATCCGTTAGACGGCGACGCGGCGCTTACGCGCTTTGACATTTCATCTCTATGCAGTTAAAGCAGTAAGATTGCTTTGAAGAAAAGTTCAGAATTTCCAAAATATGTCAAAATAAAAAAAACATTTTTCAATAAAAATTTCTTTTTTCAAAAAAAGTAATTTTTTGTCAAATTTATAGTTTCTCAAAAATCTCATTTTTTAAGTAATTATTTTTCAAAAACGTTAATCGTTTTCAAAAAAATAATAATTTTTGGTACGAAAAGTTGCAGCAATTTGCCTTAAGGCACGATGCCACGCGCCCCACTAGTTTTGATTGTTGTCTTCTTCGTCTTCTTTTGAAAGTTGAAAGAATAATGTGACAAGAAAGAGATTGACACAGGCAGTTGCCTTATTAGTGACCAGAAACGTTTTACTTTTTTAATACTTTACATACAATAGATTCTGAAATATTCAAAGCAGAGACAATAGGGTTGATAATAGTATATATATATACTATGTAGCTAGAGTTGGACTAGGACTAGGATTGTGTGGAATTCTGCCAGCCCTGCTTGCGACAATGACGCTATTAGCGAAGTAAAGAACTAAAAAAAGAGAAAAGCAAGAGTGTCAAAAGAAAGAAGGTCGTGCATCTACTAATGGCGCAATTGTTAGAACCTTTATGGATGAATATTCGAGTTCGCTCGCGGAGTTTTGAGTCTTTATCTGCAACACATAGGAGAGTATCAGGCCGTTTATGAACTGGCCAGTCTCCCAATAGACGAGAACACGGCTCGGGCCAATGGCCGATGCAATTACCCGTGAGGGACGACTTAGCGGCGGTCCGGCCGGCAAAGTGCTGATCACCACGGACGGCGACGACACGATCGGCTCGCAGTGGAGGCAGTTCAGCAGGATGGCCACGCGGAACTGAAGAAGAAAGATTGTCTTTATGCTTAAATATAATTATATTATATATATATATATATATATATATATATATATATATATATATATATATATATGATGATAGTTTTGTCGACGCTGATACATATTTGTAATATTTTTGCAGCCCAATCGTCGAATTAAAAAAAGATTAAATAACAAAATTATTTATTCCATTAAACGTTTCGACACTTGATGTGTGTCATCATTCAGTAATCTAAAAAACATATAACATAAATACAAAGCTGATGATAAATATAAGTATATAAAAAGGAGGAAATTATACATACCAAACCAGGAATAACAACAGAAAAAATTAATTATGATGTAAAATTGATTGAACACTAAATTTGTGTAAAATAATAATATACTATTATATAACAAACGAGAAATAGAAGGAGCACATATTGCCCTCCTATATTTAATGTTATTGATAGCGGTGCATTGTGGACACTGATCAAGGTTACAACGCAGTGTAGTCACGCACGTGTAATGAAGGAGTTGGAGCGAGTTGTGAGAAATGAAAGGGGAAAGAGAAACAGAGAAGAAATATAACGAACGAAAGATTATAAAACTGTATAGAATTACTTTTCATTAAATTAATGATGACTTTGTAACTGTCATGTAAGAGATGAGAGGAATTACGTTTGTTTACACGTATTACAAGTATTAGTATTAGTTTTTTTTAATTCGACGTTTGAGCTGCAAAAATATTACAAATATCGTATATATATATATATATATATATATATATATATATATATATATATACAGTCAACTAAATACCGAGATTTGCTCACTTAAAAAGAGGGTGCCGCAAATCTGTTTTTTTTCCTGAAATATTGACACAACTGTCCTTAATATTGGTGTCGAATTTGATAGTCATCAATCAATCATTATGTTATTTGCAATTCATTACGTAAATTAACTACAGGCAATTTTTACAGTTTGTGCTTTGAACGGAATTCTGTACGCAAAATCATTATCAAAAACCCTAGCCTACGAGTAATATATATGATTGGCAGAGGGCCAAAAAATCGTAAAAGATATGGTTGTCCATTAACGTTTTTAATGACTGAAAACATTGCCAAAGTCAAGGCAATGGTACTGAAAAATCGCCATTTAGGCTGAAGGGAGTTAGTTCTTGACCTTAACGAATCTATCGAAACAATTACATCATCAAATTGGGCATGGGACGCTTTGCTGTTACCGGAAGAATATGGCTAAAGACATTCTTGAACAAGTGAATTCGAACATTCGGTATATAGGTTTAACGTGCAACTCGTCAACAGGAAGTTGAATGGTGCTGACCAAATGAGACAAAACGAAGATTTTAACTTCTCACCATGTCGAAGTCATGCTGCTGATTTTGTCTGATTATGGTGGTCTTACACACTCAAAAGTCGTTCCAGATGGTTCTACGGTAAATTAAGAATATTATTTTGAAGTTATGAGAAAATCAAGAAGATTGCGCATAGGAAAGCTAATTTGTAGAAAAAAAGGCTCAACTTTTGACCATGTCGAAGTGAGTCAAAATGTGAAGTCATGCTGCTTATTTTGTCTGATTATGGTGGTGTTGTTCACTCATAAATCGTAAAGGGTAAATTAAGAATATTATTTTAAAGTTATAGGGAAATCAGGGAGATTTTGAATAGGAAAGCCAATTTGTGGAAAATAAGGCTCTATTGAGAACGCTTTATGGCCAAACAGTGAAATATTATGGGACAACTACCGCATTCATCTGATCTATACTCCTATAATTTATTTCTTTTTCCTAAGTTTGAATTGCCAGTCATCGGACACTTCGGGCAAATAGATGCCAGTACAAAAAAATTGCCGAAAAAGCTGAAGGCAATCTCTTTAAAAGTTTTAAAATGTACTTTGATGATTGAAAAAAATTAATTATTGGCATTTGTTGATCACTTCGAATAATGCCAAGAAAATAAGTTTGAAAGATTGAATGATTGTATGAAACATCTCTCGATACTTAGTTGACGGAATGTATATGTATATAATATGTATATATATATATATATATATATATATATATAATATATATATAAAAAAATATGATAATATGTGATATTGAACAAATATAACTTAATAAAATGTCGCTCATATCACCTAGCGCACAATATTTTGTAAATTATGATAACAAACATGTTTAATGATAAATCAATTAACTTATATAAACTAAAACTGAATAAGCAATGAATAATTTCTTTTTATTTTGTTCTCGTGAAAAATATCATATAATAATAAATAATTATATAAAATAATTGGAAGTAAATGATATTTTCATTTGGAAAATTTACTGGAACTTCTCGATATCAGAAAAATATCGAGAATATAATTGAAATATTTTTAACAATTGTTAACTTCGGATAAACGACTCAGACAATCTTTACCAAAAATGAATTAACACAATTTGAGACTGAACTAATATTTCAAATCTTTCAATTATTTAAATGATTCTAAAATATTATAAAAAAAAAACTGCTTGAGCGATCATCATGAAAACATTGTTTTGACAAATATAAACATATGTATATATGCATGTGTGTTAAGTATCTCTTACCCTGTATTTGGTGTAAGGGTGCAAATCATACACAGTAACAATCCTCGAATCATTATCCCAAGTATGATTCCTACAAAAGTGCCAGGCCGCGCTCTGCTCCTCGTACCTCCACTGAGCTAGTAGGCGCCCGCCGTGGGTCACCGATAGCGGAGTCCCGTTCCACTCCAAAGCCAGCGAGGTCGCCGTCAACGAATTGGCCACTAAGGCAGGAGCTGCAGGGGTACCTATAAACTTTTTGAGACGGATAAAGTACTTGCTTAGGGCCTCGTTGCATCCGAGAGCGCAGTGCATTGCTTCGACTGACACTTGGTCGTCTGTGCCGTTCTGGAGAGAAAAAAATCGATTTAGGTAACCTCATTTGTACTAATGCCATAGAAATAAAATTTAATGATATATATAATAAGTAACTTACGCATGCTATCGAACATGATGATTCAAGAGCTTCTTCCAATAAACGGCAGCCTTTAGTGCACTGTAAAAAATAAAAATATTGTTTATATTTTAAACTGTCAATAAAATGAGGTATACCTAATTATGATTAATTGTTAATCAGGTAATTATAGATTAATTGTTAATCAGGTAACCTGATTAATTGTTAATCAGGTAACCTGATTAATAGTATCCAGTAGTCTTATAGTTAACTAAAATAAACTCAGTTTGTAGAAAAAATCAGCTTTATCATAATCTCAGAATAACCCTAATGAAAATAAACTGAGAAATAAGTAGGTGGCATGAAAAACGATTGATTTACTGAAAATACTTCTACCAAGTTTGTGGTAGGTGGGGAATTGGTCCAAAAAATTAAATGTGTCAGTGGTTGACAACCCTTAATAAAATGTTGTTTGAAAGAAAAATTTAAGTATTTCTATAAGCTCAGAAAAATCTTAATCGAAATTCAGTGAAAAACGTTCCCAAAAAAGACGATAATTGATTAGTTGTCATGCAGATAAAAAAGATTGAATTTCTAAAATGACTATACAAATTAGAAGTTATTAGAAGAAAAGTGAGTTCTTGGGGTATTGGGGACAAACTAGTTGGTATTGGTATTTTGCTTGAGGCAAGTTACATAAACTTTCCGATATGTGTAAATAATCGACTTAATCAATAGAAAATATATTAATTTATAAGCGATTAAAAGTATTCCGAGAGGATTTATTACACATAATTGAAAGCGAACGAACACGTTAACTCTGAGTATTTTCTAAAAGCAAATGATCAAAAATCAATAATTTTTATAATTGAACCAGTTTCCCTAGGACTTTAATGGTTTAGTATGTTCATTAAGACCAAGTATTCTATCGTTATACCAAATCAATTTTAATTTTAACAAACGTCAAAAAACTACTCATTTTATCAAACTTTGATAATTTTTTAAAATTAAACTACTTGTAAACCCGTAATATTTCAATAAGTTGTATAAGACCATGATATATAACATCAAAAAAAGTTTCATAAAAATTGGCTCATTTTTTTCCTTTCAACAACGAATTACAAGAAAACGGCTCGACAGATTTTCACTTAAAACTAATCAGTATCATTCCGAACTAATATCTTTCGAACAGTTTTTGATTTTCTAAAATCGATTCGATAGTATGATCTTAAATGTGGGCGAAAAGTTTAACACTTTTTTCCAAATTTCAAAGGAACGGAAATTTCAAAGAAAATTTTGACAAATGCCAAAAAACAATAATAATTTTTGACGAATTTTTAAAGCTAAACGAGTTGTCGTAGGGCCGTAATATTTTAGAATGATCTAGAAGACTATGGTCAAAATAATAATAATAAAAATCGTCGAAAAAAAAATTTTAACACCTTATTACAAGAAAACGGCCTGGCCGATCTCTACCAAACACTTATCAGAGTTTGTGGTACGAGGATAAAAATTTAGGGCGATATGTGTTTCCTAATTACGCCAATCCTTACCACTAAAGGTTATTAAAAATAGATGTTAAATGCGAAGGAAAAAAGATCATACCGTTTCAGAGTAAAATGATCGCTAACATCACGATACGAGAATTTTTATAAATATATCAAGACATATTCTTGATTATTATTATTTTTTTTTTTGACATTCAAATTTGGCAAATTCGATTGATTAAACATGATAACGACTCGCGTTGCTTACTTTTGCGAGACAATTAGCCGAAGTTTTTCGATAGTATTAGCAGAAAACTGCCAAATTTTTCATGCATGTTTTTGCAAAAAGATCTGAACTGAGTTTGATAAATTAAAAACAGTTCGAAGGATATGTTGAAAATCGAGCTCATTAGTTTTTGGTAAAGATGAGTCGAATCGCAGTATTGTCAATTAATACCTATTTTTTTGGCTTTTGATATTTTTTTAGATAATTGAATTCATAGTCTTAACAAAGATTCTAAAATATTATAGGTCTACAGAAAGCAGTTTAAATATGAAAAATCATTAAAGTTTAGAATAATGAGCCGCTCTCTTGCCGTGTATGTATAATCCGTTTTTGGTTTTGAACTGATCACCGTTGACTTTAAAAAAATATGTTTTAGAACAAGAAGTAGAAAAAATTATTTTAGTAATTAATTTTTAATGATTTAATTTAAATATAATAATGGAAAAAAAAATTAACAATGAAAAAAATTATGGCCACAATTTTAAAAGTTTATGCAATTTGTATATAGGCAAAATATTACACCTAGAACTACAAATTATAATCCCGTTACAAAATATATTATTTATGTATTTTTATGCATGCTGCTAAACGCTCTAAAATTTAGCCATTTACAATATTATTACTTTTTATATCCTATTATACTACGCTCCAAATGTTAATTGAAGTTTTATCATATTGATTCACATATATTATTTTTATTTGCATTCACTAGCCTAATTAATTTAGAACATACATTCATTTTAGTCCAGCAGTGGCCAAGGGCTTTTTTCACTCAGAAGCATATTTTTGAATTTATTTTCATATTTCTAAAATACATGATAAAACATTCGTTCCAGTGCACCATGAAAGAGCCGTAGGAGATTATCCGAGTCGTCTTGTAATGCATGTGTCGCTTGTTAATATGATTTAATTGGAAAGGACATTTTCATGGCCAAATTTATTTAGTGGACAACAGTCAGTAAACTCTTTGTGTACCATAAATATATACATATATGCAAACTATAATATATATATATATATATATATATATATATATATATAAATTAAGTGTGTGTGTATGTCGTAATGTTGTAACATTACTTAAATTTTTAACAAAAATATTTAAAATTGGAGGTCCAGCAGTTATGGAGATCCAATAAAAAAAAAGTAAAAAAATGCCATTTGGTGAGCAAAAATGATCATTATTTTTTAGCACATCAAATTATCAGATATTCTATAGAGATTTAGCAAATAAGTACAAATTGTTTACATTTCTATGGGTTTTGTACCAATGTTCGCTTCGATATTTTGTCTCTAAAACAGATACGCAGCGCGATTGCTTTAAAAAGTTGTAATTTACGTTGAAAGTTCTATATTTTCCAAAAAATTGCAACATATAAAGAAATCAAATATTTCAAAAAGAGTCAATTTTTTCGAAAGTTTCAAAATTTTCAAAAATCTCTTTTCTTTTCAAAATTTTAAACTTGTTTTAAAGCTTTTTATGAAATTTTAATTTCGGGTACAGCAAGTTTTAGCCATTTGCCTAAAGACACGATGCCATGCACCACTAGTTTGTTTCTCAAAAATTTTAACTTAAATTTGCAATTTAGCAAATGGTCACTGTTTTATACGCATCGCATGACTAATAAACTCATCAATACAGAAACTTCTGCCACTTTACCATGACGAATATACTTAAAGCACAGAAATCCGTCAAATTCAAGATTATATACATACTTACATATACATATATAGGTATAATTATTTAGGTTTTCTGGATAGCTTTTATTAATTATGATTTTTAAACTTCTGAACCAAGAACCTCTTTTTATCTTAAAAAGAATGTTTATTTAAATTGTTTCAATTATTTTATTCAATGTTTCAAGAATATGAAATGTCCCCTTTAATGACTAAACATTTCTCAATTCAAACACTCAACAAACATCAAAACGCTCCAAAAAATATGTTTTTAAATATATCGATAAAATACGTCTTCACTCTTGTGTAATAATAAATTGCTGAACCGATTTAACTAATTTTGGCTAAAGACACTGTATTTTGATTTTTTTGTCAAATTGTCAATATTGTCATTTTTTCATTTGTTTTAAATATATTTTTTTTCAGAAATTTTTAAATATTTTATTACCATTGACAGTATGATATCGGGCATCAATAAAAAACATTAATTTCTTTAAACCACACGTTTAGGCATTGAAGCTACTAGTTAACTTCCCGTAGGGTAAGTTATAGTAATCGCAAAAAAATCGAAAATGAGAATTGTTATCGTTTCAAAGGTTTCTGAACATTTTGGCATACCTTAAAAAATGAATGTATGTGTGTGTATGTGCGAATACAATTTTTCGAGAACACACATCAACCGATTTTAATAATTTAAACAACATTTTACTTGTTTGGACGTAATGATCAATTTGGTAAAATTTTTGGTAAGGCAGGTTCAGTGCTTCCAGAGATCCAATAATAAAAGTAAAAAATAATGCCATTTGGCGGTCAAAAATAATCATTAGACATATGCACATCAAATTATCAGATATTTTATAAAGTTTATAATAATAAGTATAATTTTTGTGCACATTCCTATGGGTTCCGAACCAATGTTAATGTTACAAGTTAGACTATGACGCGGCGCTTACGCGCTTCAATATTTCTTTTTCTAAAAAAACAGCCATTCAGCAAATGTATTAAAAAAAATCAAAATATAATAAAACTATTTTTTTCATTTTTTTTTTCAAAAATCTAATTATTTTAAAGTTTTAAAAACAATTAAAGTTTTTTTAAAAAATTTAGTCTTTGTTACGAGAAGTACCAGCAATTTTCCTGAAGGAATGATGCCAAGCCCCACTAGTTTTATAAAATTTCTCATCCTGTTTGCAGAATTCATTTGCCACGTGCAGTATTTTGTATTTAGTCTAATGAATTATGTGCGAAACAAATTTGCTTACATCACGATGACAACTTGTTGATATTAATGAATTAATTAATGAAACAAGCTAAATGTTGACTCCACTCCCAGTAACCGAGATCCCGAACTCATTGTTTGCGAAATGACTCAAACCGTTTGTGCATTTGTTGAGCGACATATTAAATTAAATCAAAATCGATCTAAACAATATTTTAATAAACGCTTACTGTGAGATAGGACATCCAAAACATTAGAAGTCATTTAGGTACTTTAAAATTATGCAACCTATTTATATGTTTTTCACAAGTTCAGAGGCGGATTAAGCTTTCTGCCGTCCTAGGCCCTATCCGTTCAGGCGCCCTTTTTAATAGACAAAATTTTACTTTTTTAATTAAACAATTTATTTTAAATTATTTAGATATACTTTTCGACTTTGAATTGGGTCAGTTATAGTAATTGCAAAAGAATCGAAAATGTTTTTTTTATCTTCATGTTTCAAGCGCTCTGAACATTTTGATATACATCAAAATGTGTATGTGTGTATATATGTATGTATGTTCGATTCTGATTGATACTGGTCTAGCCGTTTCGAGGATACGAAGCAAAAAAGTGCAAATAGAAATCAGAACCTTACACCCTGAATCTTTTCCTTATGTCGTATTTTTGTAGAACGTAAGCCGACTGTTGATTCATCCATATTTCATTACTTCATTATTAGAAATTATCTACCAGGGCTGACTTATTACAAACTTCCCGAAGGAGCAGTTTGTTTGAAAATTTAGAGTTTTTTTGCAAAGCAATGTTAACAAAATTTCTACTTATCATTAATATTCTTACAAATTATCTGATAATTTGATGTGCGTATGTCCAATGATCATTTTTCACAAAAATTAGTATTCGTAATTATTATTAGTTTATATAAAGAAGATAGAATGAAACTAAAACTGTATAGAATAAAATTGTATTATAAAAGTAATGTTGTATAGACAAAATGCTGGAGTAAGCGAGGCCATAATATAAAAAGTATGCCAACAATGTCCAGAAACCTTTATAAAGTGAACATAGATAAAAAATTTTCATTTTCGATTTTTTTGCGATTACTATGAATTACCCTGTGGAAAGTTAAATATTTTTAACAACAACAATAATAAATGATTTCAAAAGAATTCTTAACGGTGACTTTTATGAATTATACTGAAAAACCAAACGAATTACATCACAACAAATAACAAACATCAAACAAACAAGTACCTATCCATTTTTGGTAAAATTCCCACCTAATTCATCATTGTAAAAATATATTTCTTGCAATTTTTCTCAAACTATCTAGTCCTTCTTAGGCAGGGAAAAAGAGACATCCAGGGACCAATAGAGTAACAAAATTATTATAATCTTACGAAGATAAACTTATTTTAAATTTTTGGTACTGGCAAAGACAATGTAAGTTTGCCATTCGGTGAAAAAAATGAAAATACTACCTATGACGTAATCATCATCCAGACTCCCTTGCCCCCCATGTCAAACCAAATTAAGCAAATCCATAAACCCCCCGCCCCCTTCCCCTATTGTGCTTACGTAATACTTGAACGGCCCGTTTGCGACAAAATCTGAGTTGCAAATGTTTTCCCGACGTTTGAAGTCATTCTAAATTGAATGAGACCAAGATTGGAAAAGGTATGCGTGTATGTAAGTGTGTATGGGAGCCGATTTTTGACCTTTCGTTGACGTTTTCTTTTCAAAAACCATACGATGTATTTCAATAAAGCGAAGAGCGGTGCGTAAGAACATTACATAAAACTTTTTCCAAATTTGCTCTCAATCGATTAAGAATGATTTGAAACGTCGAGACAGCATAAAATTAGCAAGTCGTCATTTTTCGTGAAAACAAACTTCTCCTGCGAAAAGTTAAACATAGAAGAAATGATTAAAATCAATTAAAAATTTGTTTTGCCGAAGAAAAAGTCTATTTAACTTTGAATCAAATGCAAACTTTAATCAAGAGGCATTTGTTACAATCTTTCTAACAAATTTTACAAGTTTCGAAGATAGTAGAACTAATATATAAATGATAAACAGCAATCGACTTATATATATATATATATAATATAATATTGAATTACAGATCTAATCAATATAATTTTTAATTAAGTAAAGTATAATTATATGAAATTGGTTATATTTTATATAATAGATACTAAATAAATGTCATAGAAATAATATATAAGCAAATACAAACAAAGATAAACTAAAAATGTGTATTTTTTATTATATTTGTTCAAAGCTTTATTTTCAATAATGCTATAAATTCCTGAATTAGAATTATTTAAGAAGTTAAAATAGATATAAATATATTTAATGCTTTTTGTCTATAGATTAAAAAATAAAAATAATGAAAAATATTGGGCTCAACCGGGATTTGAACCCGGGACCTCTCGCACCCAAAGCGAGAATCATACCCCTAGACCATTGAGCCGCTGTTAGAAATAGCGATAACAATCAACTTTGAACTGATTCTTTGATAATGTATAATAACAATTTTTGTAACTGCTAAATTGCATGGTTATCTTGATTGTAAAAAATAACAAGAGGAATGCATGGCATCGTGCCTTAAGGCAAATTGCTGGAACTTCCCGTACGGTACCCAAAAAAATGTGTACACATTATTAAAATCTCTATAAAATATCTGATAATTTGATGTACATATGCCCAATAAATATTTTCGACCACAAAATGACATTTTTCAACTTATTTTCATTGAGAGTCCATAACCGCTGGACCTACCTTCCCAAAAATTCAATCAGTAGTTCATCTTGTCAATACAAGTAAAATCTTTTTGAATTATTAAAATCGGACGCTCCGTGCTCTTAAAAACTGAGCTACCGTTTTTGGCATTTTTTGCCCCGTATCTTTGCAACGGCTAGACCTGTCTTCGCCAAAAACTAATCAGCACGTCTCATTATCAATACGGATCGAATGTTTTTTGAATTATCTGAATCGGTTGATCGGTGTTCCCGAAATCGTCTACGAAAATTTGTATCCGCACACACACGCACACACACACATACACACAATTGGGAAGTACTAGGTATCTAAACTGATAATGACCATAATGCACCTGGGAAATATCAACAAATAAAAACATTAGAAGACATGTGAAGATATCAAAAGCCATTGGGTGGGAAATAAAATCTTTTGATGAAAGCGCCATGAGAGTTGCCTTAAATTGCAAACCTATATTTTCAGAATACGCAGATGAGCTTACTAGAGAGCTGATGGAGAGAATAACCGAAACGTGTAATATCAGTATGACTCGTAAGCATGGCATAAATCAAAGACAATCTGTACACTGGCGGACTGAAGAAACCAGCTCTTTTCGTAAGGAGTGCCACAAGAAAAGAAGGATCTCTCAGCGAGGATATAGTCTCACAAATTCTGCACAACTGGTAGTAGAATACAAACAGGCACGTCGACAACTAAATAAAGCTATCAAATATAGTAAAGTTAGGTGCTGGAAAGAACTTCTGGATGAAGTCGAGGAAAACCCAAAGGGAAGGCCTTATAAGATTGTAATGTTTCGCCTCAAAAGGCGGCCAATGCCTTCACCAACTTGCCCACGACTATTGTATAAAATAGTAACTACTTTGTTCCCATGGCAACCTAATTTAAACTACCAGGTAACACATGTAGAACTGAATAATATTCCACTTATAACACTGCAAGAACTGATGCAAACTTATCATCGGGTTGGAAATAGTAAGGCACCGGGAATAGATGGAATTCCTAATATTGCCTTAAAAACATCAAGTATGATATCTCCGACAATGTTTCTTAATGCCTATAATACCTGTCTACATAAAGGGTTTTTTCCACGAAAATGGAAACAGCAAAGATTAGTGCTTCTTCCCAAAGGAAAAAAAGCACCAGATGAACCATCGTCCTACCGTCCGATATTCATGCTGGATACAGCGGGTAAAGTAAAGCAGACAATTAGGATGGTTTTCGCAAAAGGCGATCAACTATCGATGCTATAAAATTGGTAGTTAATACCGCCAAGGAAGCAATTGCTGGAACCAGATGAAAGGGGGGCGCGAAGAAGTACTGTCTTGTAGCTATATTGGATATAAAAAATGCATTCAATTCTGCAAACTGGAATTGCATTATGAATGCACTCCGTGACAAGAACGTGCCAGTATACCTCAGCAATATAGTCGCAAGCTACTTTACAGACAAAATTCTAATGTACAATTCACGCGATGGTACAGAAGAATATAATATAACAGGAGGTGTGCCGCAGGGCTCTGTTCTAGCCCCGTGGAATATTATGTATGATGGCCTTTCGAGACTTGAGATTCCAGCATGTGTGAAACTAGTAGCATATGCAGACAATGTTGCCATAGTAGTTGTCTCCAAACAAATTGATGAGATCGTAAGTCTATTTGATATAACATTTAGAAAAATTAATCGCTGGATGGGAACAATGAACCTTCAATTAGCACAACAAAAAAGTGATGCTGTTCTTATCACAAGTAGAAAAACAATAGAGACCATCAAGCTGAAGATAGGAAATCTAGAGATCACGTCAAAACCTCACATATGTTACATTGGCATAATGCATGATGTTCCATTGAATTTCAATCAACAGGTGGAACACGTTAGTGCTAAGGCGTCAATAGTTAGGACGAGACTTGCTCGACTGATGCCTAATGTTGAAGGACCTAAACAAACCAGAAGAATATTACTATCGTCAGTGGTTACTTCGGTACTTACATATGGTATATACATATGGGCTGATGCTCTCAAAACTCAAAAATCGAGGAGAATAGCAGGACCTATATATCGCCTGAGTGCTTAAGAATTGCTTGCGCATTTCGCACAATATCGCAGGAACTCTGCCTCTCTTAGTCTTAGCAGAGGAAAGACGGACAATTTACAATCGAAGACATCAACAACTGAGTCCTGAAAAGTTGAGATTAGAAACGGCAGAACAGCATTGACCGATGGCAGCAACTGTAGGATGTCGCAGTGAAGGGCAGATGGACGCATCGTCTCATTCCAAACATCAAAGTCTGGCTAAGTCGCAAGCATGGAGAAGTAAATTACTATACTACGCAAATGCTATCTGGGCACGGCTGTTTTCGAGCCTACCTGCACCGCTTCAAGCACGATAGCTCGCCGGATTACCCATATTGTTTGGGCGAAATCGAAGATGCTGAGCATGTGTTTTTCGTGTGTCCGCGATTTGATGCTGTACGGGACGATGTGAAAGAGACATTGAGACGCAGAATTATACCAAATAATGTTGTTGAAGTGATGCTGACATGTAAAGCTGCTTGGACCGCCATAGACAGATTTGCGAGAGAGGTGCTAATTGACCTACGTTCTATGGAAAGAGAAAAGACGAATGGGACTTCGCACATTTAAAAGATGAGTATAAAATCAAGTTAAGAATTATAAAATTCTAGATCCTAACGCCACGAATACCAGGGGGTATTGAGTCCGACATACCCAGACAAAACATCAGTCTGGGATGCATAAAGGCATTTCCTTCGCTATACCAAAAAAACATATACACACACACAGACCCACATACATCTATTTTTTCTAACATATGCCAAAATATTCAGAAACCTTTGAAACGTAAAGATATATAAAAAATTTCTTTTTCGATTTTTTGCGATTACTATAACTTGCCCTACGGGAAGTTAAAAATAAAAACAATGAAAAATAGCACCCAAAGCGAGAATCACACCCCTAGACCATTGAACCGCTGTACAAAAAAACGATAACAAACGGCCTGATTTAAATTTCAGTCTTTGATAACTTATGATGTATAACAATTTTTGTAACTGCTACATTGTATAGTTATCTTGACTGTAAAAAATAACTAGCTGTAAGTGGAATTTTGTCTTAAGGCAATTAAACCATCGCGCCTTAAGGCAAATTGCTGGTACTTCCCGTACCGCAATTCAAAATTCGAGTAATTAAAAATAATCAATAATAATCAATAAAAGTTGATCAATGATTTGATACTTTTAATAAAATTTCTAACCATATGAAATCATTCTATCTTAAATCATTTATTTTGAAATTTTTTGGAAATTCTGAACCTTTTTTCAAAGCAATCGTACTGCTTTAGCTGCATAAAGACAATATCGAAGCGCATAAGCGACGCGTAAACTTTGGTACGGAACCCATAGGAATGTAAACAAAATTTATACTTATTGTTAAAATCTCTATAAAGTATCCGATAATTTGATGTGCATATGTCTAATGATCATTTTTGACCGCCAGATGGCATTTTTTTTTACTTTTTTGTTAGGTCTCCAAAACCGCGAGACCTGCCTTTATGAAAATTTGATCAATTCTTCATCTTGTCAATACAAGTAAAATGTTTTTTGAATTATTCAAATCGGACGCTCCGTTCTCTTAAAAACTGAGTTACCGTTTTTGGCACTTTTTGCCCCATATCTTCGGAACGGCCAGACCTGCCTTCACCAAAAACTAATCAGCACGTCTCCTTATCAATACGAATCGAATGTCTTTTGAATTATTCAAATCGCTTCATCCGTGTTCCCGAAATCGTCGACAAAAATTTGTATCCACACACCCAAATACACGCACATACACACACACACACAGGCACACACATACATCCATTTTTTCTAAGGTATGCCAAAATGTTCAGAAACCTCTGAGACGTAAGACGTCAGAAACCTCTAAACGTAAAGATATGTAAAAATTTTCATTTTCGATTTTTTTGCGATTTTTATAACTTACCCCACGGGAAGTTAAAAATAGAGTTTTTCTCCTAAATAAAATGAATCTTTTGTCAATATCTCCAATATCAATTTAACTATACATTTCTACATATGTCGAATTGGAATTGGCCGGAAGCCACCGCTGTGTCGGCCGTTACAGAGGAAGTACTGATGATGGTTGAACGGATCGCGCTGTGACGTGTGACCCGTTCGTAACGTTGGGGAAGTTGGTCTGCTGCACCCATCAAGTGGAAAATATAGAGTAATGGCTAGTGGAAAATATTATTATACAACTGCTAATTGTTTCAAATATTAGGCAACAACGATGGGTTTAAAAAATAATGATGCACAGTTTATACACATTATAGGATTACTGTAATATTCGCTGTAGCACTAAAAATGGTTTAAGACTAAAACTAGTGGTACATGGCATCGTGCCTTAGGGCAAATTGCTGCAACATCCTGTACCAATTATGATAATTAAAAGAAAGATTTTTTGGGAAAATGAAAGTTTTTGAAAAAAATGATCTTTTTAAAAAATTTAAATCTGTTTTATACTTCGAAATATTTTGGAAATTTTGAACTTTTTAACCCAAAGAAACGTAAACAAACTTTATTCCTATTATTAAATTATCTATGAAGTATCTGATAATTTGATGTGCATATGTCTAATGATCATTTTTGTCCGCGAAATGGATTTTACTTTTTTTATTGGATCTCCAAAACCGCTAGACCTGCCTTCCCAAGAATTTTATCAGTTTTTCCTTTTTTTTTTAATCATTCAAATCGGACCTGCCTTTGCCAAAAACTAATCAGCACGTCATAGGAATCGAATGTTTTCATGAAAATCCAAATCGCTTGATCCGTGTTCTCGAAATCGTCGACAAAAAATTGTATCTGCACATACATACACATACGCACACGCACACACATATACAAACACAAACGGTATGTCAAAATATTCAGAAACCTTTAAAACGTAAAGATATATAAAAAATATTTTCTATTATTTTGCGATTACTATAACTTACCCTACGGGAAGTTAATAATTAATTTGTTTTATAAAATGTATTTTTAATTTCCCGATTTTTTACCTTTCGTCAGTTTCTCAAAAATGGCTGAACCAATTTCAAAAATTTAAAAGCCATTGGATGTAACTCGATAAGGACTTACGTTTGTAAGTTTTCCGCGACGATCAACCAAGCCGTTTCTCTGTTAATAGCAGAAGAGTGAAAAAACGTTTGTCCACCTTTTAGCCTACAATCCTGAATAGATTTTAAAAATTCAAAAACCATTCGAAATTGATTGATAATAATCGTTCTGATCAGTTTGAAGTGAAGATCGAAGTGAGGACCGTTTTCTTGTAATTAACTGCTAAAAAAATTTAGATGATTCTCATTAAACTTGTTTTGGCGATAGACATCATGGTCCTGAAGAATATATGAAATATTACGTCTCTCCGACAACTCGTTTAATATTAAAAATTCATTGCTTGGAATTCTTTATTTGGAAAAAATATAATAGCCATTTGTGTCAAAACTCGCTTTTGTGATGAT